CCCCTGCCCTTCCACAGGGTGCTGGGTGGCAAAGGAAGAGGGAGGTGGGGAAGAGGAATGGAGGAGAGGAGAGCTGCCTTCCCCCCTCCCCGGTCTGAGTTTCTCTGATGTGAAGTCTCATGAGTTCAGGTGTCGTGAGGCTTTTCACACGCCAAGGGTTTCTTTCTAAACCTCTGGATTTTTATGGCACACCAGCTGCAGGTAGCTCCAGCGTATGGTTCCAATTAGTGCTTTCAAAAGCTGCTGTGGTGAGAGGCACGAGTGAACCGGTCCCTTAGAGTCACCTCTGCATGTCCTTTTTTCCATCCCTTTTTTAGCCAAATTACTACAAGACTTGACCTCCCTGGACCCAGCTGTAAAGGAAGAAGCCATTGCTGAAACAGAGAAAAGGCTCCATGATGAAGAAACTAGCCAGGAGGAAGAAAGCAAGACTACAGTGAACAGAACAGTCATAAACACCAGTGCTTCTGTAAGGGTTCTTTTGCCTTTGAAATTAAAGCTGTGTATATTATTGGGAGGTATTTGATATTGTGTTGTTTTTGTCTTAAGACTGCTGATAACACCAGATACTTCTGTTGGATTTATCCAAGGTAGATGCAAGTACTGAGGTGCCATAACTTCTAGTTTTTACCTGCACTTCAGGAACCTGAGCAAAATTAGATGAAGGCATGAGAGTCCCTCCATTAATTTCAGTAGAGTTTGATTTCAGTGACTTGCCTCATTAAAGATACAAATGGGATCTTCCCAGTAATGCCAAAAGTTATTAAGTCCTTCCCATCCTTTGTTTAAGTGATGATTTGATATTTCCAGTATGCATCAGTCTGAATATTTCAGACATCCTGTAGCTTTGAACAACTTAAGCAAGTGCTTCTCTGCTGCTGTGTTTTTACTGAAGTGCCTGTTTGTGTACACGTGCTGTGTTTCTGGTTTCTTTTAGGACGTTGCAAATGCAGAGACAGTGAATGCAGGTAGGACAGTGCTGCCTCTAGCATCTCTTCAAGCTGTTTTAGCAGAGAGGAAGGATTGCTGTTAGTTCATACAAGACCTAATTCTACTCCTGCCAAGCTAGAAGCTAACTTGTCTAGTGATTTTAATCAAGATTCAGTCAGATTTAAGAACACTTATCAGTGTGGCTCTACTTGCTCATAGGTAGGAGGCGTGTTGGTGTAGACTGGTATCATATTCTGACCTCTCATTGAAAAAGTTAGTTTTCTGAAATTAAAAGGAAGCAAGTTTATCTCTAGAGATGAGATACTTCATGGCAAGTATGCAAATCCTGAGTGGTAGCACAGTCTTTATCCATAATAGCTTGTCTTTCATGTGCCAGTTTAATTGCTGAAATATTCCCTTAATATTTTCTTAAAGAAAATGACTGGGAAATACCTTAAAAACTACTTTCATTTTCATCTGAATATTGATTGTAATGAAGCTTTTCTTTTTTTTTTTCTTTTTTTTTTTAATAAACTAAAATACCACCAACTCTCTTGGCTCCAAGATGCCTTTCTGGCAGTGTTGGAAAAGGATGCAAAAGAACGAGCTGAACGAAGGAAGAGAAATGAACACCTAGCAAATGGTAACTGCAGATGCTTTTCTAGCTCATTTCTTCAAAACTAATTAGCAGGAGCTGGGCTGATTGAAGTGACCAGCTCCTCTGTTATTGCTATTCTGATGCACACTGAGATGGTGCTTTTGGTGGTCTGAGACCAATGGTCTTGTCCACAGCATTGATCAGCTGGATAGAACAGGATTATGTATTTCACAGAATTGTTGCAACCTGTTCTTCTGCTCCCTGTCCCCTTCATCACAAGGGAGAGAGCATGGAGGGAGAGTTTGAGCATTTCACAGCTGGGCTGGGCAAAGCCAAACACTCCTTTTTCCCTCTGAAAGAGGAATGAGGATCATGGGCACGAGCAGCTCAGAAGTCTCTCATGAGTATTGGCTAATGAAGACACCTGCAGTGCAGCTGGACTGCAATTTTGATGATAAATCCAACAGAATATGGCCTCTGTTTTCTCAGTCACCAACTGGGGAAAAACAAATGTTATTTTTGAATGCATGTCTGTTGTTTTGCAGCTCTGAAGGAGAAGGGAAATGTTGCCTTCAGGGAAGGAGACTATGCCACAGCCATTCAGAGATACACTGAAGGTCTGGAAAAACTGAGAGATAAGCAGGAACTTTACACAAACAGAGCACAGGTCAGCATGTGGAAAGGAGCTAGCACCATACTGGGCTTAGTGTTACTTTGCCAGGGTAGAACCCAGAAAGGTTGTTCTGCTATCTAAGTGAATTTCAGAAAGGGAAGTATGTGAGAGGCTTAAATTAGGAAGCAAACAATTTTGCCTGGCTGTCCTTCACTACCAGGAACTAATGAATTCTGCTTTGATGACATATTGGCAACAGAAAATTTTGACTGTGGCTAGAAGACTAACAGCAAGATAGTGCAGATTGAAGGCTTTAATCTATTTACAAATTTAATGAAAGTGTTGCACAAAGAAGATCATTAAATGTATAAACTCTCCCCTCTTGATCAATGTGTCTGAATTCTTTTGGTTCTGCTGTGGCTAGTCCTTTCTGAGGGAGTGTTCATGTCTCCTCCCTCTTGGATGTAGCACAGGTGAACCCCTGTTCCTCAAGAATAAGGGAGAAAGAAGTAATTCTAATTCATATAATCCATATAATTTCATTTATCTAAATGCACTGATTGTTTTTAATTGTTGTAGGGATAATTTTTATAACTGGAATGTTAAGGTTTGCTTTGCATTCCCTACATGTGTTGTATAATCCATATGGGTGTATTGAGTTTTGCTTTACTGAATTTGTTCTAAATTACAAACTCCAAGGAGATGGAAGACAAGAAACAGCTGGTAAAATCAATAGTTAGGCAAATCAACAGGTTTTTTTTTAATTAGCTATTATTATTTGTACAATAGTTGGTGAAAGTTGTTTGAATAAAATCAATAGTTAGGCAAATCAACAGTTGTTTTTTTTAATTAGCTATTATTATTTGTACAATAGCTGGTGAAAGTTGTTTGTTTGAAGTATTCTAATCATTCTCCTTGGACTCTCTTGGTTTTATCTCAGGCCTACCTGAAGATTCATGAGTATGAAAAAGCCCTCAGAGACTGTGAATGGGCATTAAAGGTAACTTCAGGATTCTGTCTTTTATAATCAGGTCAAGTGCTCTGGGAAGTTTGTGTGTACCTGACTAGAGGGAGACAACTTCTTAATGGAAATGAGTGAATGTGGAGATGTGTTGCACAGATTCCTGCATTCTGAGTTAACTTGAACAGTATAAAGCAGTTAATATTTCAGTGCTGCCTTTGTGCAGAAGGTTTTCCAGCTCTTAAGTGATAATAGGCTATTAACTGTACCCTTTGCCCATCCTTCTAAAAAGGGGAATAGGTCTCTTCAAGCTCACAAAGATCAGCCCTGGTGGGAAAGGTAAGGATTGTATAAAATGCCAAAGAGATTGATCTGAATTCAGTTGTCTTACATCAGAGATGCCTATGACTACAACACAACTGACAGATTACTAACAATAATGGCAGCATCATTTCAAGAAATTAATACTATTGAGACATAATTGAATGGGAAAAGATCAGCTAATCTGTTAATGTTGAGCCAGATGTTTCCTTGTTGTTTTCTGTGCAGGGCCAATGGGTGGGATACTTATTTCACTCATGGCAGAACTAATCCAAAGATGTGGGAATTCTGTTGTTATGGAGTGTTGTGGTTACAGAGTGTTGATCCAGGCCTTCTGCCTTTTGTTTACCATTACCCAGCTGCATTGTTCATATTACCTGAAGTGCATTTTCTGGGGAGGATATTGGCACCAGCTGCTTCCACCTTCAGTCAACCAAAGCCTCTGTTCCTGGCCTGGGGAAGGAAAGCTGGCACCTGGGGTAATAATGGAGCATATAAACTTCAGGTGCCTTTAGTGGATGGTATAAATACCCACTTCTCTGCTCAGGCTTGTTTGGGGCAGTTATAACTATTAATCAGGAGGCTGGAAAAAAATATTAAAAGGTTACAGTTTTTGAAGTAAAATTTCTAAACACATAATTATGGATTATTTTTTTAATGCAGTGCAATGAGAAATTTGTTAAAGCCTATTTCCTAATGGGGAAAGCTCACCTGGCACTTAAGCACTACAGTGAGGTAAGGTAACTAAATCTTGTGACCGTGGGGCCGTGTTTTGTTCTGCCTTTGACGTGATGTTGTGGGTGAGAGGGAGAAATTTGTGACCTTAAGAACAGGATGGATAAAGGCATGTTGACTCCTTAGGCTTGAGCAAAGTTTTCTGTGCTTTGTAGAGACTCATAATTCTAAAATCAAGACTTCTTTCCACACCTTTGTAAAACAGCCCATGTCTTTTTTTTTGTGCAGACAAAATGTAGGAGACTTCTGTGAGCTGTGACAGTTTGTAGTCTAACCAACCTGGAAAGAATGAGGGGATTTTGTATCCAGTATACGTGGTTTATCTGGTGGGGGTTTCTCAGACTGCAGGACACTAAGCTTTACCAGAGGGCTGTGGGGTTTGAGCCTAGGCTGGGTGGCTGACTGGGGGCTGCAGGGATTGTGCATGTGCTCAGAGGATCCCGTGTTTGGCACTTCTGTTGAGCTGCTTCAAGAGTGACATTAGCAATGTGTGCTCACATGGTGAGGGAAGTGGTGCTGGAAGGGCCACACTTCAGCTCAGGTCAGGGTTGGGATGAAGGAGTGTCCCTGGCAGGTGCTGCAGGCTCTGGTGGTTGCAGTACTAGCAGCGACTGCACTTCCCCCAAAGACACAGTCAAGTGAAATGTATTTTACCCTAAATTGCTCTGTGCCACGAGTGTTATTAAACTGTTGCTGCATGTAACTAAGAAATTATTGCAAATCACCTGGTGGATAAGAAAAATCTCAAGATATTTCAAGTTAAATGAGCTGTTAAGGTGAAAGATGAGAGTAAAAATGACTTTTTTTTTTTTTCTAACATCCTAGTGAAATGAATGTCAAACAAAAGACTTAATTCTGTGTTTCATGTGTGAAGTCCTAATGGAAGCATAAATACTATCAAAATATCAGAATATCCTATTAGCAAATACTTAAGCTTGAAATAAACTGCCAAATATTTTAGTACAGCCTGACCCTTTATCTTCAAAAATAATAAAGAGCCTGAAGAGGAGAGCAGGCAAGCTCTAAAGTATTTCTGATCCAGTCAGGAGTGACTTGGTGAGAAATAAGTGTAGAGCATGGACAATATGAGTCCACATGATACCCACCTTGAGGGGTTCTTGGCATTTTGGTCTCTGAAGAAGGTTCTTCCCTGTTGCAAGCTTGTAAATCAACTTAATTCCAAGTACATACTCAAGATACACAAAATGCATCAACGGAAGATAAAGGTGTGAGATGCACGTGTCTGGTCCCTCTGATGGCATTAAAACTGCAAGAACTGTAAACGTGCCTCCCTTTCTGTTTTCTCACTGCAATTTTCCTTTTTTCTTCTTACTAGTACATTCCTAGGCTTGTTGTTGAAATGTTCATTTTAATTTGAAGTAGCAGGCAGACAGAGGGACTGAGAACAATATCCAGCTTATGCTTTTCATTAGAAAAGTTTTGACTTGTGTCTCTGTAAATTTTATTTTTCACACTTCTTAAGTACTGTGGCTGAAGAACTTTTGAGTTTAAACAGGATGACTCTAAGATACAATTTTTATCATCTTCCCATTTTTACCTTAAACTGAGAGCACATTTCTTTTCTCTGTGAAGTCCAGGCAGTGTTATGAGAAGATCTTAGAAATTGATCCCCAAAAGGAAACCTTATTTAAAGGTAAGAAATAGAAATTCTTACAGTGTCATCCCTTTTTTTTTTTCCTGATCCAGATGGAACTTAATCAAAACCTCTGTTATGCTCTTCAGAACTTTGGATGGAGTCCCTTCATGCAGATTTTGTTTCTAATAGTTTCTTGTTTAAGTTCTGTTTCATTTACCAGAGCTGTGTGTCATCTTCATGGAATCAACTTCATTTTTTACTTGAAACTTAATTGTACCAGAACAATTAGTTGCCATGCTTTCTTAATCAAAACCTCTGTTATGCTCTTCAGAACTTTGGATGGAGTCCCTTCATGCAGATTTTGTTTCTCATAGTTTCTTGTTTAAGTTCTGTTTCATTTACCAGAGCTGTGTGTCATCTTCATGGAATCAACTTCACAATTAATTCCCATGCTTTTTCTTTTGATTTCCAAGATTGTATGCATGAAGTAAACTCAGAGGAAAAAAGAATGAAAGATGAAGAGAGAGCAATGAAGGAATTTCAATCTGGAAAGCTTGCTGCACTGTCCATCAAAGAACTGCTGCAAAAACTTCATAGACCTGACCAGAGTGTCCTTTACTACACAGGAGCCATCAGACTTTTGACAGGAGCTGTAAAAGACTGTGAGTATTGGATTCAAAGGTGGTTGATTATGAAAGTTGTAATCCAAGCAGATGAATACAAGTGGAGTAGTTTTTAAAGGAACAGAAAAGCTGTTCCTATATTTAAAGCACAGTAAAATCAGCAACATTTGATATTGCAAAATTTATGGCCAGGACATACATACTTGTTTGGTTTTTAGAATGGCACTGGTGTTGTAGCTGAGTTGTTAAGACTTCCTATGGATTTGGGTCTCTTAGGAGCTGTTTTAAGAAATATTTGTAACTACCTGTTAAAGCCAGTCTCATGTTTCAGTCTTCCCATAAAGCCTCTAGCCTGAAATCAATTGTTCTTTACAGCACCAGGCATGAGTTAGATCTACCTTCAGCTTCAAAGCTACTTCTTCTTGAAGTAGCTTTCTTGGAGTTTTTCCCCTCTTTTAAGGATGTTCTTTCCCAAAGCTGTTGATTCTGTGACCTTTTCTTTTAACACTGTGTTACAGAAGTGCAGGCATCTGTCTTCACAATGATACTCAGCCAGATGGATCACAGAGCTCATTTGTTTATCTCTGAATTTTGCAGGCACTGAGCAAACTTTATTTAGAACAAACAATGGATTCAGTATCCTCAAAGACAACGAGGTTATAAGGCGGTAAGAGCTCCCCACAGGAGAACAGTAGGGTGTTAGAGCATGAGGAAATGAAAAAACTGTTTTCAAGAAACACAATCATCTCTTGAAATGCAGATGAAATGGTCAAAAGATTCTGTAATAACAGATTTTAATGTCTGAATGGACCGACTTGTATCTGACCCTTACACAGACAGGGCTCTCTTAGTGCAGTGAACAGTGTTAATGAATCTCTTCTTCTGTCTCTTATTTCTCTACAGTTACCCTGTCTCTCATGGTGAGAGCAGGTTTGTAAAATAAAACTGAATATCAAAGAACATATGGGGGCCTGTATCTTCACTTGCTCTATCTTCTTGACAGCTGTTATGTTGTGTTTCAAGGATCAAGAAATAAAACTCTCAAATGTTTGCATGTATTGCTTTATAAACTGTCTTTGGAGGCATCTCTTGTCTGAATGTACATTTGAGTCAGGTCCAGATACATAATGGAAAGAAACAGTATTTTGCACAACTGAGGTGGTTCAGAACAGCATGATCTGGAGGAACCAGGGTAGGAGAGCTGTTCTTTAAGGTTGTCAATGGGACTGCAGCACAGAGACTTCTTTAGGGCTCATCAGTGTTTTGGGTGTTGTCTGGAAACAGACTTAAGGTTCAGGTTTTGTGCCCTGGTTATTCATGACTGTCCCAGTGCAGAGCTGAATTTATCACCTGTATTGAGCTGTGTAATGCTCATAGAGGCTCTGTGTGTGTTGAGGATAGAGCAGAGCTAGCAGGTCATAAACCTGGTCTCAGAGTTGGAAAACAAATCTGACAGTCCTAAAAATGTTTAACCAGTGAGCTGGGTTTAGAGTTTATAAGCATGGCAGATCCTCATCTCTGTGGGGCTTTGATTTCCCTAGCCAAAGAGCTAATTGTTTGATCTATCCTTTGCTCCTTTTATGAACTAATGTTTCTAATTTAGGGCCTTCTGTGCGGAGAGAAAAAACACTGCTGAAGTGGATCTGTCTGTTTCTCTTCTCTTCCTCTGGCAAGCTGTCTGTACTGGGAATGGTAAAACTGTGTAATCAACATGAATCATTGTTAATATACTGTTAATATGGCACTTAGTGTGTCTAAAATTATTGTTTGGCACGAACATCACACTCCCAGAGCACTTGGGTCTAGACGTTATTGTAAACAAAGTTTTACAGGTCAGATGCAAGTGTTGGAGGCTGACTGCTGGCAGCAACCACAGTTTTGGCAGTTCTGTGCATGGTGAGATCAAGCTTCCACCTTATTTCAGTGAGGATTTTAAATGTACTGAAGTGGTGAAAAGTAAATTCCCTGTGATTGTTGCTGTTCTTAATCACTTGTATTGTTTTGTGTGGTGGTTTGGGGTTTTTTTAGCAGTCATATCAGTAAAAAGGAGTTTTATAGTTTATAGACATACCAGTAAAAAGGAGTGTCATTAGAGAATACCAAATTCCTTTGGTCACTGGGCAGATAGCCCTTGCCTCTGTTTCTCAGGGGGAATGAGCACATTAGTGGATGAAATAAAGACATTAAGCCTGTTCAATCAGCACCTAGGGAGAAAAAACTAAGAGTAAGGGGGATGCCATTGTGTGTGATGTTGTTCTCACATCTTCTCTTTTTTTCAGAAGAAAATCTGCGTCTTCTATTGACTGAGTCTGGTATGAATGCACACCTGCCAAAGCTGCTTTCCTCTGGGGTACCAGAGATCCAAAAGGAGACATTGGCTCTGATTTCTCTTTACTCGGAGAGTGAGAATGGGAGGAGACTGCTGGTCAGGCACCAGGACTTAAGCAAGTAATAAACACTACTGTTCCTCAGAAAAATGTCCTTAATACAGGGTTTCACAGATGTTCAGAACTCGTTCCACTAGCAGCAAAGTGACAGGCTTTCTGAAAGGAACCCAATGACATTGAGGCTTTTGCCCTTGAGGGCGAGGCCTAGCTAAGCAGAAGTCAAAATCAGATGTGTGGGGAAAGGTTCAGTAGATTTTGTATCTGAAGATGTCTGTGAAACTTGGTAGGAAGGACTTAATCCTGCGTGTGTTAATGTAGTTTTGTGACATAGTTACATTTTCTAACCAGCAAGTGTGTGCAAGTTCAATCAGGAGCTTACACTGTTGTCTTTTAATAGCTCATGGTTTCAAGCTGAGACTCTCTCCTCATTTGGTAATTTATATTTATGATTATTCAGAGTTGCTGTGACTCACTGAGTGGAGAAAGAATGAAGAGTCTATTACCTTTCTCCTATTATCCTGCCATTCCTTTCCAGAGTTAAGCAGAGGAGAAATTTTAATTTACTGTTTTGCGTTACGTGGTTTGAAGTAATTGAATAGAGAATGTTCTCCAACAGTTGTACACATTTCACTCTGTTATATACAACATTAATCCAGAGACATTTTTCCTTGGAGGGAAGGTTAAAGAAATGAGCCACATCTGAGAGGACACTTTAAAAAGACAGATAATATTACTGTGTCTTGAAATATTGGGAGCCTGAAAAATATACTGTCAACTTCTGAAAGAGATCCTGGGCTTGGCTGAAAGGAGTGAGGATGCTCAGAAGGTAACAGTGCAGGTCCTTGGCTTCTTGCCAGTTGGGCTCATCATCCAAGTGAGGAGACTGTGGCAGTGAATTTCATCTCAGTAGAGCAGCATGTGGAAACCACAGCACACACCTGCAGGTGTACTTGTTCAGCAGAGCTTGTGTTCACAGTCTGAAGTCCTGTGATTTGCATGTAGTGCAGATCCCACAGCCACAAGAGCACACTGCTCCAAAAGCTCAGAAGGTGAATGGTGTCATGCTCTTTTTTTAACTTTTATTCAGGCAGGAGATTAATTTTTCTTTACTACTATAAAACTTTTTAGGTTTTTAGTTTAACTTTTAGTTAAACCCCTCCAAAGACTGTTTGGTGTGTGCCAAGCATGTCCCTTAAGCCATGCAAGTGTCACCACTGACATTCCCTGCAGGACTTTAAAATGTCTTGAAGTTCTTCAGTTCCAGGCTGTGCTGATGGTGTTCTCAGTCCTGGCTGTTGCATTCTGCTTGTCTCCCCCTGAGATGTTTGCCAATGGCAGAGCAGCTTAGCTTCCAACATCTGTGAAGCTTACATGTGATGAGATGTTCTGATGCTGACAGAAATCACTGTGTTAAAATCACTGTCTGTACTTGTGCAAAGAGGGACAATAGAGTGGTGTGCTTGGCAGTGTTAGGTTTACTGATGATCTTAAAGGTCTTCTGCAACCTAAGCAATGATTCTAAGAGTATTTTGAGAGAATCTAGTGCCAAAATATTGTTCTAATGACACTTAGGTGACCAAGTATGTTTGGAGGGCCTAGTATATCCAGCTTGGTCAAAGCCCTGCCGAACACAAATGAGTTAAAGATCATAAACTCTGTTGGTTCACTTAAAATACAATTTTGATCTTTAATAATTAAAACAAAGCTAACAATTTTTATTTTTTTCTAACAGATGGCTGCAGATTTTGATGACATTTGTCAGCAGCACTGATGGCAGGGCTACCATTGCCATGAATGTACTGTCTGATTTAACTGAAGAAGAAAGGTAACTTACATTTTTCATTTGTTTTTATGAAGTTGTACTTGGAAATGTAGTAGAACTAGTGATAGAGGCTGTTGGCCTTCTTTGCTGTGAGGGTGGTTGCTGACTGATGTTTACCTTATCTTTATGTTGCTGTTGTGATGCCTTTATCTGTGATTTTTGTCTGAAGCTTTAAGGACCCAAACATGGCTTACCTTATCCCCCAACAGGTTCAAAACCCAGTGTCGTGTCACGCTCTCCACAGATGTTATACCTTTATTCACCCAGTTGCTGGTAGGAAACAT